TAATAGAACCTTTCTTAGTTGTTGTAATTCTTTCCTGCATACCACCCATATCTGTTCAAATATCTTGAATTAGTAATGTGAGTCATTATATTATAATGAGCAACAAATAAAAATTAAGTTACCAGTACTAGAAAATATCCGATTTTAGGTATGAAAATCGGAAGTATTATATCGTGAACGCGCACGAGAATAATTATTTCAAGCTCATAGTTGAAAAGTGTAAAAAGAAAATTAAATACCTTAACGTAGGCTGATAACCTACAGCGGAAGGAATACGACCCAACAAAGCAGACACTTCAGAACCAGCTTGAGTGAAACGGAAAATGTTATCGATAAAGAGTAAGACATCTTGACCTTCGTCGTCTCGGAAATATTCAGCAAGGGTAAGTCCAGTCAATGCGACACGGGCACGTGCACCGGGGGGTTCATTCATTTGACCGAAAACAAGAGCAGCCTTAGAATCGCCGTCAAGTTTGATTACACCAGTTTCTATCATTTCATGATACAAGTCATTCCCTTCACGAGTTCGCTCACCGACTCCAGTAAAAACTGAATAACCACCGTGAGCTTTGGCAATGTTATTAATAAGTTCTTGAATCAAGACGGTTTTTCCGACACCTGCTCCACCGAAAAGGCCAATTTTACCACCTCTAGCATAAGGTGCTAACAAGTCAACAACTTTGATACCAGTTTCTAAAACTTCAGGAACTGTTGATTGATCAACAAATTCAGGCGCTTCTGCGTGAATAGGGGCACTTTTTTTCGTTTTGACCGGTCCACGCTCGTCAATTGGTTCACCAATGACATTGAGAATACGACCCAAGCACTCTGGACCGACTGGAATTTTAATTGGAGAACCAGTATCTACTACCTTTTGGCCACGAACAAGCCCTATTAGTAAGAAGAATAATGAACGAATAGAATAGCATTTATTCATATAGTAGAATGGATAATTTAGTTATCACATTAGGAGATAGAAATGTATCAAAAAGTTATTGAAAATAGCCAAAGACCTTCT